AAAGTACGAAGACATGAAAAAGGTACTGACGAGATATGAAGTATTTTACCTGAATCGTGATAATATTCACAATAAATTAAAAATGCATCACCTCCTCTTTCATATTCAGGACCTGCCTTGTGCTGTTCAACAAATAGCCAAATTTCTTGGTAAAGATTTATCTCCAGAGATGATTCAACGAATCGCTGACCAAACAACCTTTACTGCCATGTCTGATGGCAAAGGACGATTCTACGATAATGAACCCGACTACCTAAAACTGAAAACCCCGGGTGCAACAAAATTCCTTCGAAAAGGCGAAGTTGGTGACTGGAAAAACTACTTCACTGATGAACAAAACCGACGATTTGATGAAATGTTCGAGAAGGAGAGAATGGCCATAAGTGGACTGGAAATAGAATTCTGAATCACGTCTGAGAGTTTTAATTCTCATTACTTTCGATTTTTGTCATATTTGCACTGTAAAAAAGCTTGCCCATGCATGTGCATGTAAATTAAGGGGAAGTGCATGATCCTACTTCTGTTTCGTCAGCACTACTCAGCACTAAGAAAACTGTTTAAAATGGTCTTGTTCAAGAGAGCACAGGCCCTTTAGTCTAGTCAATCTGACGAAAACTGCTGGGTTTTTGTTTGTTTGTTTGTTTTTCGATTCGTGTAAACGCAAATAAGAACTAGATGCACATGAACGTGAACTCGGGGTTCTGTTTGATAATAATCCACTAGTGAATCCGATTTAGTATTAATAAAATTTCAGTATATCCATAAAATTTGTTTACCGTATCACAAAGGCTTTTCAGTCGTTTCTTTGCAGGCGTTCAGTTAGAGAGCTTAAGCATGACGTTCACGGCAAACTGCAAACGGCAAAAAAGATCAGTGACCTGCTTTATGGGGTTTTACCGTTACAGTTTCAACGCGAGAGTGCCGGTTATTTTGAGTTTGCCATAATCGTGAAAAGTCGCTCTTTGAAATGACTACCCAAAGCACAAGGTCAGGCACGAGATTCTCAGGTCATTGGTTCAGCCCTGCCGTTATCCGTTTGCCGTCAACGCAATGCTTAGACTCTCTAATTGGTATCAGTTAGTATATAAATTTATTAACTTAGCTAAGTGGCACAAAAAGCTGAGTTTTAAGTAGCCTCCTTTCAGACATCATTAGTATCGGTCATATGTTCCCTTAGTTTCCAATTCACTAGGTTTTCTTTGTTATTCACAGGGTTGTATATACCATAGAAACTTAAAGCCGGGGAGGGATTTGATATTCAGCAGGGAAATGTGGGGTTGATGAATTGAATTGAATAGCTCGTTATAAATTCAGCGGGCTATATATGAGTGACCGGAATCACTCATATAGCCCGCTGAATTTATAACGAGTTATTATTCAATTCATCAACCCCACATTTCCCTGCTGAACATCAAATAAACCAAGTAAACTAAACTATTTTTCCCCTAAAAAAGACTATTTAGAGTGTAATAAGTTCGAGTCCCGCAGCTTTTCTTCATATGTTCATCAGAGAATAGAGACAACCAAGATCTTCGCCGTTACTTTTAAAAGAATCTATTCTTCGGAATTAACCATCGTGTATGAATCAGAAGTAATAGGTGTGACTTGGTCCATTCTATCCAAGCCGGCAAGTACACACGGCCATTTATTGGTACTTTAGTTTGTTCCTTCTTGAATCCTTTCCTCGTATTTTTTCGAGCGAGTTCAACATCAAAAACTATTGTAATTTTTCTCATTTTTTCCCATCTGCAGACTTTGTCATCGTTATTTGCGGGAAGAAGCATGCGGAGTTCCAAATCCGATAGCAAATCGTCAATATCAAAGTTCGTCAAAGGAATGATGTCAAACGTATTTTGAGCTATAAACAAATCGTCACTGTTCGACATCGTTTCCAGAATGACTGCTAAGAATATTTGATAACAATATTCAAATTTCGATTGCTCGCTTTCGCATGAACAGGTTTTCTTAAAGGAAACTAATTTCAACAGTCCATGAAAAAGTCTCAAGAGAAGAGGATTCTATTGTTCGAAACCCAACTAAGAAAACATTCATTAAGTCTATTCAGTTTTTGCGAAAACCACGTGAATTGAAAACTAAGTTTGTTAGTTACCTCGCACGTCGGCATTACGCTATATACAGCCCTCGGGCCTGCGGCCCTCGGGCTGTATATAGCGTAATGCCTCCGTTCTCGGTAACTAACTCTTACATAATACATGCGTT